GCACCTTTTGGGCACCCCTGCCCGCTGCGACGGGCCGGGGGTCAGCGGCAGGCGGGTCTGTCAGGCTCTGCTCTGGGCCTGTGCCACACGAGGGGGGCTCGGCACAGCTGGCCGTGCCTGGAGATCTCGTTAATTGCTGCGCACTCGAGTCCTGCCTGCATCCCAGATGTGCTCGTGGGCGATGTGGGTTGGATTTTATGCCAGGTGCTTGTGAAGCAGCCCCAGGTTGGGGTTTGGAGCTCCACTCCCCAGGAGCGCACAGGTTGGGGGACCTCGGCTGCCCACGCTGGGGGTGTGGGTGGGTCGCACAAGCTAGGGCGGGCGCCGAGGCCGGGGGTGCTGGGTGCCACTTGCCGGCGTGGCTTTGCCGTCTCGTGGGCGATGTGGGTTGGATTTTATGCCAGGTGCTTGTGAAGCAGCCCCAGGTTGGGGTTTGGAGCTCCACTCCCCAGGAGCGCACAGGTTGGGGGACCTCGGCTGCCCACGCTGGGGGTGTGGGTGGGTCGCACAAGCTAGGGCGGGCGCCGAGGCCGGGGGTGCTGGGTGCCACTTGCCGGCGTGGCTTTGCCGTCAGAGGCAGCCTGCTGCGCCAGTGACCTAGTCTGGCAGCACGAGCGCTTTCTCCAAAGCTCACTGTGAGGAGGGGGGGGGGGGGGGGGATGGAAACTCCGGTCCAAAGCCCTTGTAGCGCCAAAAGCCTGGAAAAAAACTTATCTCCAATCTCCTTTTAAAAAAATGTAATAAAGCCTTTTGTTTGTGCAGTAATCTCATCCCCTCGCTGGCCCGGTATTTTCCAGGCGCTCTCCCACCCGGCTCCCTGCAGCTCGGCGGGGGCTGATCGCACGCTGTGTGGATTTTACTGCTCCCCCGAGGGGTTTTTTCTGGAGCTGGTTTTCTGATTATTTCCTCGAATCCTCTGGTAAACCTGATCCAGCCTGGGTCCCCGGAGTGGGGGGCGGGGGAGAGAATCTCTTTTCCAGGGCCGGGGTCTGCAGGTCAGCGAGCCCACCCGGCTCCCTGCAGCTCGGCGGGGGCTGATCGCACGCTGTGTGGATTTTACTGCTCCCCCGAGGGGTTTTTTCTGGAGCTGGTTTTCTGATTATTTCCTCGAATCCTCTGGTAAACCTGATCCAGCCTGGGTCCCCGGAGTGGGGGGCGGGGGAGAGAATCTCTTTTCCAGGGCCGGGGTCTGCAGGTCAGCGAGTGGGCGCAGTCTGAGACGCGGTGCTGTCTGGTTACCCGTGTCGGCGGGGCACTTCCCTCTGAGGCGGAGACGTCCCGCCCGCCGCACGCCACGCTCTGACCCGCGGGACGCCTTGCCAGGCCGGACGCTGCCTTCCCTGCCGTTTGGGCAGATGGGGTCTGATCCCGTCACTTCTGGTTAGCGGTCAGTGGGGCCCGGGGTTGGCCGCGCTGTGGGTGCCCCCGGAGCTCTGGAGATGCAGGCAAGCGTCCCTCTGGACGGAGGCAGCCTGAGAGCCGCGAGCGCAGCCTTGTGCCTGTCAGAACCCTCTTGGGTGCAGAGAAAAACTTGTGATCACCACACGGCAGCCCCCTCAGGTGTCCTCACCGATACCAAACCCCGCAGGACGGTTTGGGGGCTAGCTGAGCCAGAGGGCATCGAGCTGAGCAATCTGTTAGTTTTACACAAATAAAGGCAGTTTCTCTGTACTCATCACGCCGCCAACCTGCGGAACTCCTTGCCAGAGGATGTTGTGAAGGCCAAGACTATAACAGAGTTCAAAAACGGTCAATGCATGGAGGTTAGGTCCATCAGTGGCTACTAGCCAGGCTGGACAGGGATGGTGTCCCTGGGCGCTGCTTGCTGGAAGCTGGGAATGGGCGGGATCACTCGATGATTCCCTGTTCTGTTAAGTCCTTCTGGGCACCTGACCTTGGCCAGGAAGACAGGACACTGGGCTGCATGGACCTGAGGTCTGACCCATCCTGGCTCTGCTTCTGCTGCTCCGTCCACATCTCGGGGATATTGTCCATCGGCTTTAGGCACCCCAGTTCCAACCTGGCTGCCAGCATGTGCAGCAGCCTTCGCCTGAGACGCTGGCCCAAGGCTCTCGAGCTGTGCCCCAGCAGCCGCTTCCCCCCATGCCCGAGGCGCGTTCCCCTGCCCCAGAGAGCGGGGGCTGGCGTGCCATGGTGCGTTCGCGACCCATCCGTGCCGGCTCTTCCGTAGCCCCCCTCCCCAGGGGTTTGCCGATATTTGCGCCGGGTACCGAAGCCGAGCAGAGTGCTCGGAGCCCCCAGGCGGGTTTATCCCCTTTCCGTAGAGGGGCACTAAACGTGCCTTTTCCGTTCCTCTGGGATCTCTCCCGGCCTCCAGGGATAGTTGCTGTGGCTCAGGTATCGCCTCCGCCAGCTGCTCTGGGAGGCGCTTCCTCGGTTGGCCGGGCAGTCGGAAACCCGCCCCAACTGAGGTTGTGGAATCGCCGTCCCTGAGATGTTAGAGAGCGGCCGTCTGGAGAACGAGCGCCTGGCAGGGGGGGCGAGGTTGGGGGTTCGCCGCCTTTTTCTGTCTGTGAAACGCCCCAGCCCGCCTGCCGTGGTCGCTGGTTTCTGCAAGGAACAGCCAGGGCTGGCGTTGCTCAGACTGCGGTGGCAGGGTCTCCGGGCCCTAGGGTTCAGCCCCATGGTGGGGGCTTAGGCTCTCTGCCCCGAGCCCTAGCAAGTCTAATGCGGGCCCTGCTTGGTGCCCCCCGGGCTGGCAGGCGGCTCCCCGGGGGCCCAGACCCACTGGGCTACATGCTGCTGTGCGTGCGGCGGCCTGGCCTGGCTGGGCTGGGCTCAAGACCCCTTCCGGCCTGGCAGTCGCGCTCTCGGCTGGGTGGCTAAGGAAGGGCTGTGGGTGGGAGATGGCTGCAGGAACCCTGGGGCGTCTGGCTAGCGGCGGAGGGCGGGGAGCGCTGGATGCACAGCTGGGCCCGGCCTTCTCTGGACCTGGAGGGCGTGTCCCGCAGGGGCTGACGAGGCTCGTGCGCCCAACTGGCCTGCTGCCCACCCCCGAGGTGCCTGCAGACCTTTTTCCCCCAGGGCAAAGCACCGCACCCCGCCGCTGGGGCCTGCCAGCCCGTGTCCTGCCCATCTCCAGCCCTTGGTGGCTACTGGCCGTGCCCGGGCGGGGAGCGGTCCCTGGCGTGTCTGACCTCGGCAGGAGCGAGCTTCGCAGCGCGCAGGCAGGCTGCAGGGGGGGGAAAGTCCGCCTGGCAAGAGGGTGTTCTGCCCCGCTAGAAGACTGGCCCCGGGCGGCTGGGGCTAGTCACTCTCCCTCCTTGCAGCCGGGGGGGCGAGTGGAGGGGTGGGCTGGTCCGTTTTAGAGCTACATGGATTCCCGCCTTGCCCACCCAGCAGAGGGGCTGGTGTCCGCCAGAGCCCCCGTGTGGGAAACTGGGGAATGCAGCGGGTCCTGGCCCCTCGGGGGCGGGGGCGTTCCTGAGGCCAGCGCAGCGCTGTCCGTGCCGGGGGCCATGCTGATCTCTGGCTTCTCGTCTTGCAGGCCAGGAAGGAGCAAGTCCCTGGGATGAGCCGGAGCGTGGAGTCGGGGTCCAGCCTGCCCCTGCAGGATGAGTACGAGGAGGACAGCTCCGACGAGGAGGTAGGAGCCAGGTGGACGCGCCGAGTCGGCTGGTGCCTGCGCTGGCGGCGAGGGGCGAGGCTGGAGGA